TGCCTAAATTGGGATTACAGACTGATTACAACTAGGATTACAGGTGTACACATCCATGGCCGCCTGGCAGTGCCTCTTAAAGTGCTTTCAACCAGAGTCTTGCACAAAGGCTATCAATAGACATTTGCTGAATTCATCAACTATTTATAGGTACTGAAAATACCCCTGCATTCCACTTATATTTGATTCCCATCATCCAGGAATCTGTACTGATGGTAACTTGATTTGCAAAGGGTTTTTTTTTTTTCCCTCTACTGAAAGCCCTCTAATCCATTATCTCATTGATACTCATAATGGTACTAGAAATTAGATAGGTATTCATTCATTCTTGTCTTCAAAATGAAGACTCTTGGGCTGGAAAAAGTGAATTAATTTGTCCAAATTACAAAGGCAGTATAGCCAATTTTCGCTAACTTCGAGGCTAGTCTGTCTACATTAAGTCTGGAGTTTCTCACTATTTCTTCCCATACACACACACACACAAGAACTGCAGCCAATATACAAATATTTGTGAAAATATACAACAACAGAATACCAGAAGAAAGTACAGGAAAATATTTTAATAATATTGAGGTAGCATGACACAAAAATTCAAAAGCCACAGATTTTTAAAAATTTTTTTTTTAATATTTATTTTTTAGTTTTAGGTGGACACAATATCTTTATTTTATTTTTATGTGGTGCTGAGAATCGAACCCAGTGCCTTACACATTGAAAGCGAGCGCGATACCACTTGAGCCACATCCCCAGCCCACCACAGACAGATTTAACAATGTGAAACTTTAAAAATTTTGCGTAAAGAGACACCATGAAAGTGATGAAAGCTTACTCACAGCTTTCTATTTCTCACTCATAATTTTACCCACTCAAATGTTTTCAAAATATTCTTGTGCCAGGTGAAGCGAGCACCTACAAACTCAGAGACTCAGGAGGCTGAGGCAGGAGAATTTCAAATTCAAGGCCAATCTCAATAATTTAGACCCTGTCTCAAAAATAAAATACCTGGATTTGTGCCTCAGTGGCAGAGCACTCGCCTAGCACACATGAGGCACTGGGTTCAAACCTTAGCACCACATAAAAATGAAATAAAGATATTGTGCCCACCTACAACTAAAAAAAGAAAAAGAAAAAAAAAAAGGTTTGGGGGTATAGCTCAGAGACAGAGTGCCCTGGGTTCAATCCCCAGTACCAAAACAACAGCAGCCAAAAAAAAAAAAAAAAAAAGAATTTTCTTTGCTCTTTTTGCAATTATTCTTTTTCATGTCGATTTTAAAAAACATTTTTAGTTGCAGATGGACATAATACCTTTATTTTATTTATTTATATTTATGTGGTGCTGTGGATTGAACCCAGTGTCTCACACATGTTAGGCAAGCGCTCTAGCACTGAACTACAACCCCAGCCCTCCATATCAATTTAAAAATCAGCTTAAGAGCTGGGATAGGGGCTGGGGATGTGGCTCAAGCGGTAGCGCGCTCGCCTGGCATGCGTGCGGCCCAGGTTCGATCCTCAGCACCACATACAAACAAAGATGTTGTGTCCGCCGAAAACTAAAAAATAAATATTAAAAAAAAACTCTCTCTCTCTCTCTCTTTAAAAAAAAAAAAAAAAGAAAAAAAAAAGAGCTGGGATATAGTTTAGCAGTAGAGCTAAATAATAATCCCCACTACCCCCCCCCCAAAAAAAAAAAAGTAAAACAATTAATTTAAATTCCATGCAAAGGGGCTAGGGTTGTGGTCCAGCAATGGAGTACTATTTAATTTAGCACTTGCCTGGCACATGCAAGGCCCTGGGTTTGATCCTCAGTACCACATAAAAATAAGTAAATAAAATAAAGATATTGTTTCCAACTACAACTAAAAAATATTTTTAAAAATTCCATGCAAAATCGTGTAACTAGAATTTAGTTTACCTTAATCTACAGCAAGAATTGATGTCCCTATAAAACTATGACTACTACAAAACTACAAGACTACTATGTCTTCCTACTAGTGGACATAATAAAATGTCATCTAATTAGGCCTTTATGATTTCATTAAATAGCCTGTTTTGTTTTGTTTGTTTTTTCCTTTTCAAGACAGGGTTTCTTTTTTTTTTAGAGAATGATCTTTTTTAATATTTATTTTTTAGTTTTCGGGGGACACAACATCTTTGTATGTGGTGCTGAGGATCGAACCCAGGCCACACACATGCCAGGCGAGTGGGCTACCACTTAAGCCACATCCCCAGCCCTCAAGACAGGGTTTCACTATGTTGCCCATACTGGCATAGAGCTCTCAATCCTCCTGCCTCAGCCTCGCAAGTTGCTAGGACTACAGGCATGAGCCATAGCACCCAGGTTGGTTTTCTTAACATATGACTGTGGCAGGAGCCTGAGGCAGTAGGATTACAAGTTGGAGGCCAGCCTCAGCAACTCAGACCTCCAACAATTTAATAAGACCCTGTCTCAAAAAGTATAAAGGAATGAGGATATAAGTCCCTGGTAAAACACCCCTTGGTTCAATCCCCACCACCAAAAAATAAATAAATCTGACTTTCAGTTCCCTATTAAAATTTTTTCTAGAAATGTAATAGTTTTACTGTAAATGAGATTATTCTATGACATTTCATGGTTATTCTTTTTATATTTTACTTATATAATTTGTTCTCATGCTGGAGATTGAACTCGGTGCTTTACTACTGAGCTACACTTCCAGTCCTTTTTTTTTTTTTTTGTATCAGGGATTGAACTCAGGGGCATTCAACCATGGAACCACATTGGCAGCCCTATTTTGTATTTTATTTAGAGACAGTATCTCACTGAGTTGCTTAGCACCTCCCCATTGTGGATGCTAGCTTTGAACTCAGGATCCTCCTGCCTCAGCCTCCCAACCTGCTGGGATTCCAGACCTGCACCACCATGCCCTGCTCATTTCCAGTCCTTTTTATTTTTGATTTTATATAATTTTTATTTGTTAATCTTACATCTGGCTATGTTGCCGAACTCTAATATTAATTTTACTATTTCGTCAGCTGTTTCTCTTTATAAATGAATATATTAACATAATGAGACTTTTCGGTGCCCAGAAGCTCTATTGAATTAGTAGGGTTTTTTGTCGTTGTTTTTTGCAAAGTTGAGAATTGCACCCAGGGCCATGCACTACATCTACAGCCCTCATTTTTAATTGATATACAATAGAATATTAGTGTTAATGGTAAACATTCTTGACTTGTTTCTCTTGTTGATAGGCGATTTACAAAAACAATTAAAATGGTCAAAATGTAAATGTAATAAGAGGTTTTTTTTTTTTTTTTTGGTACTGGGGATTGAACCCAGACCAGGAATGTAGCTCAGAGGGACTGAACCCAGTTGCTATGCAACTGCTGTACCGCTAAGCTACACGCCCCCCCCCCTTTTTTTGTAATTAAAGATTTATTTCTGGAAATGTTTTGCTCTCTCAATCTTATTCAATTTTGGGATGACACTAAAAGCACAAAGAACTTGCTTTCAATGGCCCAAAATGTTGACAGGTTGGGGAAATAAAATTTGTGTACAAAAGTTGATTGGGAATTCTTGTTTTTTCATCATAAGCATTTTTTCTTTAATAGAGCCATCAATTTTCCTAAGCTCACAACCTGATAGCACCAACAGCAGAAATTAGGTCTTAAATGGAATCAACATTTCCTTCAGTAAAGTGCATCTTTAGCAAGACCCCCTCCCTAACGGCTAAAGTTGGGAGTAGAATTTGAAGATGGGTTCAATTTTTCCATTTTTCTAATTCAGCCCGGCCCAGGGACCAAAATGCATGCCCAACTGTCCAACTAGTTTTGTTGGAAACTAAGGTAGGTTCTATGTCCTTTTCCAGCGAAGTCAGAGCTAGACAGCCTGGAATAAAGATAAAAGGTAACCAGGGTGTCCTCTGACTTCTGCGAGGACATAAGCATGGCAGCCTCGGGCTACTCAAGGAACTCCTTCGAGACACTCATTTTCAGATTATGGTTGGGTTTACAAGGCAGGACTGTGCAAAGAAAGTTAACTCCTCCCAGCTGACCCTAAAATCTTCGGGTCTGGGCCCGATAGCAAACTCAAGGAAAGACAAACCTGACCGAGTTAAAGGAAAAGATCAGAAGTGTGAACTATCTGGCTTCTACTTAGGACTCCGACCCCAGAAGCGACGGAAGGGAAAGAAGTGGCACTTTTTCTAAGAGTCTTAGCCAGCTCTCCCAAGAAGCCCTCTCAACCAGCGCCCGGAGATTTCAGGAATCCTATTCCTGCCCTCAGTCAAGATGGCGTCCCGGGCTCGCATTCGCCACGGCGCACGCGCCAGCCCTCCGGTCCGCCCTCCTCCCATCCTCCCGCGCGCCTCAGCGCCGGCTCGCCAGCTGCAGCGCTCCGCGCGTCCCCAGCCTCACCCCTTTTCTGGTTGTCCCCGCCTGTCCAGACTCCCGAGCCCGGAAGTGGATGTTGCTGCTCGGCGGAGAGAACGAGGGGGAGGGGGAAGTGCTTCCGGGGAAACGGGCCCCGGGTTGGTGTTTGTAAACTTGCCTCGGTCCCGGCGGGGACAGCGGCGGCCACAGGGTTGGCACGGAGTGCTGGGGCCTGAAGGAGGCGCCGCGCTGCTGGGGAGGCAGCGGGAAGTCGTGCCTGGCAGGTAGGCGCACGCCCCAAGGTGCGCAGCGTCGTCCAGGCGGACGGCAGCGCTTCAGCAGCTCGCAGGCCGTGGGACGCCGCGCGGGAAGGGGGAGGGGAGGGGAGGAGGGGCGCGTGGCGAAAGGAGGGGGTCTGGGGGAGGGCCGCGCGCGCACCGCCTGCCGCCGCGTCCCCGACCCTGGAGATGAATGCTCGCTTGGAAGGGACGCGGGCGCGAGCACGCACCTCGCGCTATGCTCGGCGCTCTCGTCTTTTCTGCTCGGTTGGTGCGGCGGACGCTGCAGCTGCCTATCTGGGTGGCTGGAGGGAGGGAACGCGCTATGCCTAGCTTTGCCTGCCCGCCCTCCACCTCCGCAACGAGTTTACGTACCTTCGGGCAGACTCAGAGAACATACACGTGTGGGCACTGCCAGTGTGGTTTCTGCCCGTCGCCTCAGCGCCCAGCGATGGCCCCCGAGCTTTCCTCCACCCCGGGTCTCTCAGCCTCTGTAGAGTGCCAGCTTTGCGGGCCGGCCCACTTGGCCCAAAATCCCTGAAAGGCCTCCGCCCCCTTCTTCCATTCCTAAGATGGCAAATCCAAGCAGTAACCCTGTTGACAGAGTTACTCTCTAAGAGGTCCCTGTTACTTTTGCTTCTGTTGGCTGCCCCTCCTTGCCTACGAGACCAATTTCTTCTACTGACCTAGAAAGAACGCTCTCCTGACTCATGTCTTCTTTCTGAGCTTCAGAGTGCGCCCAGCAAAAAAAAAAAAGTTCACGTCACTCTATGGCCTGAGGATGTTGCACTTAAGGGCCCCATCTCCCTCTTTGGTTTCAGGTTTCTGGAACAAATCAAGAGAATTCAACTGGAAAACCAAGACTAGAAGACTCTCTTTTCTTCAGACAACAGGCAGAAGCCAAAGAGAGACCAGGGATTCTTGGAACACCTGTTTTCCCTTTGGAGGACACAAAGTTCTTTTGGGAGACAAAGGCAGTTCAATATGGCAGCAGGACTGAGAGGACATGAGGGAGCCATTACCGTGATTTGGTGACAGTTCTTCAAAAGGCAGTGTCTTAAGGAAAGCTGGATCAAGGAACTCCTGAACTTTGGGTTGCATTAAGTGAAAAGTCAGCATGGCTCAGGTAAAAAGCTCTAAAGTCCTCCTTCAAGATCACTGGGAAGCCTCTTTGCAGTTACACTCTTGAATGCTGCCCTAGTCAACAATATTGACCAACCCAGTGAGCCAAGCTCTGTATTAAACACCAGGGGGAGATCTAGAGGAAGGAAAGGAGACAGGCCACAGCCCCTGCCTTCAGGGAGCTTCCAGTCAAATGAAGGAGGTAGGCTATACTGCATCACAGGCACTAATGAAACTTTTGCAAAGCAACATGTACTCAGTGTGCATTTGGTACATTAAGTGCTGAGGGGCATAAAAGAGTACATAGTCTGGTGAATGCTTCGTTTGTTGTTGTTTTTTTTCCAACAGGAATTTATTGAGCTCCTGTTACATGCAAGGCATTGTGCTGGGAATACAAAGATGAATAAGATTGTTCTTGTCCCCAGTAAGCTTCCAGGCTACTTGGGTTTGGGGGGAAGGGACGGAAAGACGGTCTATTATTTTTATATTCACAATGCCTTGCATAGTGGCTGACTAGTAGTAGAGACTGAAACTGTTGGTTGAAGGAATGTACAAAAAATAGACATATATACACCGCAGAGTGATACTTCTGCCTAGATGGAAGAAGATGAAGCTTGAAGAATGCAAAGGATTTTGCTAGATTAACAGAGAAGGACAATCAGACAAGGGATACTATGTAGACAGAGGCTTAGACTAAAGGAGAATGTGAGGAGGTACAAGGTGTGCAGGTAGTTTGGTAGTTACGAAGCAAAGGATTTAAATGGGTATAATTTGGGAGATAGGGTAGATAATGTTGGTGGGGGGTGTTTTCCTGGAGAAGTAAGCAGAGTATGACCCCAGGGCCTTTTATGCCTTCCTGAGGAATTAGATCTTATTTATAGGGAATGAGGCCTCCCTAAATAATGTTAAGCAACAGAGTAACATCAAATCACTATGTTTAGAAGGTAATTGTCATTGTGCAAGTGGAGATGGATTGGAGGGACAGGATGACTAGATAGCCTGTTGTAGTCATCTAGGTAGAAAAGCTTTGTGCACACATTCCCAGAGCTGCTTCTAGCTTTCTTCCAGGGAACCTCCCCTACCAGTCTCACCAGGATGGCAGCCTGATTATAGTATAATTGGCTTTCTTCCAGCTGCTTCTGCATGCACAGCTTCCTCCTTTCCCTGCAGAGTAGAAACCCTTTGGTTTCTTCTTCCTTTGTCTGTTTGCGGCCCATTCTACAACATTAAGTTCACTCTTATTTTGAAAAGATTGCCTTTCACTAAACACTAACTCTGCTAAGCACTGCCAAGCATTTTACATTTTAGTTTAGTTCTCATCAACTCTATGAGAATAGGCACTATTTATTTAGCTTAAAAAGTGGAATAACTTGCCCAAGATTACAGTACAAACAGCAGTGATAAGATTTTTGATTCTGGACCTTTCACTCCAAAGTGTCCCTGAAGGTGGGAGAAGGGATTCCAAGATACACTGATCATTTATAAAGAAAGGAATTTTTTTATAAATTTGGGAGTTTACTGACCAACTATTTTAAGTTTTTTTGTCAGTAAAAGAAACATATCGAGTGATACTAAACAAAGTCAATTTGAAGAATGCAGCAGTGAAAATAGGTTATTTGCTTAAATATATCTTGTTTAAGTAACTTGTCAACTTTATGTGGAACAGAGAATATGAAAAAATGTAGATATGCATACATATAAATGGCCTAAGGAGTCAAAAGAAATTGTTTATTCAACTTCAGAATCCTTCCAAGTAGTTTGATTTTTACATCTGCTGTAACTGACAACACTTATTAATATTTAAAGAGAAATAACCTCTGCTGGGTTTCTGATCTCGTGACTAAAAGGCTCAGGGGTCACTCCAGTTAAAGTGGGCTAACTGGGCTGCACGAAATAACCACACAAGAGAGACAATACCTTTTTCTTTGGGGTCACTGTGACAGCTCCTCTGACCTTAAGGGTTCACAGAAAGAGAATGAGAGCACTCGCTGACCCCTTTTATTGAGGATAAACTATTCAAATGAGGCAAGGGGTCAGGTTTCAGGGGGCTGAGTATCTTCATGATGTCCACTGTCAGCAGATTGACTGACACCTGGGTAGGCCACACCCAAGGGCACAATAAGAGAAGGGGACACATATAAGGCACTTCCATGGGAGATTCTATCCTAAACCTGGCAAGGGGTTATATTACAAAGGAACAAATGAGCATAGCTTCACTCATGGGGCTGTAGCAAGACACACCCATGCACGAGACATCGACCCTCAGACCCAAGAAGGGCGGGGAAAGCTCTGCCACATTTCTGCGACTGAGCGCCTCAGCACCCAGCTGAGGAGTGTAACTCAGTCACATGTAAGGTTGGTCTCCCACAAACCTCCTAGAATATATAGTTGGTACCAATAAGGTCTGCCAATCAGAAATGGGCTCTGAAATTGAGAGCTTTTGAGAGAGAGGAGAAAAGTCCTCTAGACATTTCCCATTTCAGTGGGTAATATTGACACATCTCATATCCACTCAGTGTTAAGGCCTAGAAATACTTTCAAAGTAATTTGTAGCCACATACACTGTACTTAGCACAGTACTGCTGACAAAGGTGTTGATACTGCTTGATTATTAACTTCATGTGTGTTTTAATGCTGAAGAACAGCAGAAAAGGAACTGGTGAGATGAGTTGGGGAGGATCTTGAAGGAAGGAGGGTTTGGCAGTGAGGAGGGCTGCTCCCTGGAGAGAAGCAATTTGTCTGTAGCTGGGTGTAAAAGGCAGTTCTATAGAAGATGGCAGCCTGTTTTTGCCCTGACTTGCCAGGTGATCTGACACCTCCTCTCCTTTCAACTTAGGCAAGTCTCCTGGCTTGTGAAGGCCTAGCAGGTGTGAGTTTGGTTCCCACTGCAGCCAGCAAGAAGATGATGCTGAGCCAGATTGCCAGCAAGCAGGCCGAGAATGGCGAGCGGGCAGGTAGCCCTGATGTGCTGAGGTGCTCGAGTCAGGTACAGCACTTGAGTCCACTGTGGTGCTTGGGGTTCGGGTGGCCCAAGCTTTGTGCCAGGAGACATCAAGCTTTGATTCCTCAGCGCTTCTGTTTAGGAAAGTGGGAAAAGGGAGTACAGCTGGGGAATGAATGAATGCAGATATTTTAGAAAATTGAGGAAGGTCTTTTTATACAACAACCCCTTGAGACCAAGGACATGGAGAGAAACAGAAGAGTACTTTTTCTAAGCCTTTGGAGCAGGTGGTTACCTGTCATTTAAAAATTGTCAGAAAGTAGTATCTGGTCTCTTATATTGTGTTCTGAGATGGACTGTGAGTTTAGGTTTGATTTGTCTTCAAAGGGCCACCGAAAAGACAGTGATAAGTCCCGGAACCGGAAAGATGATGACAGCTTGGCTGAGGCTTCTCACTCAAAAAAGACTGTTAAAAAGGCAGGTAATGGGGTAATCCCCCAAACCAGTACAGTTTAGTAATGGGGTAATCTTTTCTTTCCACTGTGATTCTCCCTGGAACTTTCCCTAAATGCTTTCATCCTTCATAGCCAATGTGTATCCCCTGATTTCACCCAGAGTCCACTTTAGTAGTTAATACCTACCCTTGCTGAAACATCTTTGGTACAGGTCAGGGAACATGATTTATACTGTTCCCTAGGGCAGGGACAGACTAACTCCAGCTCAGGTCATGCTCAGACTGTTGAGTGTAACAAGACAGGCATCTTACCCACTCCACCTCCTTCCCCAGAGGAACTCTTAACCCTGAGGAATGTGGGAGATGTTGGCATCTTTAGATATCATCAGAGAGGTTCTTCATCCAGCAGCTGAAAATGGACCCAGAGTAGAATGGTCTCTAGGAAGAGGGCAGAGGAATAGCCTCATGACATGCCTGATTGTTGCCCCCAGGTGGTGGTAGTGGAACAAAACGGTTCTTTTCAAGTAAAGATTCCAAAAAATTTTATTTGTGAACACTGCTTTGGAGCCTTTAGGAGCAGTTACCACCTCAAGAGGCACATCCTTATTCACACTGGTAAGTCTCTTGTTTATATTCACAGGGGGAGAATAGTCTATAACTTTTGTTCTGTGATGAGATATACCTGTTTAGTTGGGTTTACCTTCCAGGGGAAGCATTAGAAATGGAGGAAGTGGATAAGTAAATGAGGTATAAAGAGTGCATAGCTCTGTTTCTGGTGTCACTGAGACCAGCAGTTTTGGGGATCTCTCCACTATATTATAGTTTAGATGACTAAGAAGATAGCTGGAACCATGTCCCTACCACATATACCTCTTGACATTCACTTCTGTCTCCACCTGGGTTAGGTGAGAAACCATTTGAGTGTGATATATGTGATATGCGATTCATTCAGAAGTACCACCTGGAACGCCACAAGCGTGTACACAGTGGTGAAAAGCCTTACCAGTGTGAA